ACATTGCTTCATTTGTGTTTTGGCAGCTATCTTTAGCATATTCAGATATCAAGCCACTATGCTCACCTGCTTACTCAGTACTGAACTGGGTACATTCACAGGTTGCCACCGTATTCTTACAATTCCCAGAAAATATTTGCAGAAGTTAACTATTTGAAGTCCATGAATACGATTCATGAAGTTAATCAGGTGAAAAGACGTATGCATTCTATTATTAACATTTGATGTAAGGATCTGGCTTGTTGCTCATATAATCTTCCTTTCCATGAGAAGGCTTTGTCAACTCTTGCTAAATTGGCAAACCCTATCTTGCACAGACAAATGCCAGTTTTTGTGCTGATCCTTGTAAACCAAAACCATCATGTTTCATGGAGCTCTCTTCATATCTGTTATAATACCTAAACAAAATGGGGTGAGTTGAGGACAGTGTTGCAGCCCTAACTTTGAATTTCCTAGCTTTTGTGGGCTTAAGTCATACCCTTAATGTTATTTGAAAGTATTTTTTTGTGGTTTAATATATACTATAACTTGTTCTTTTGTGACAACTGGATTTATACTGGCTTCATCCCTAATACCACTGGAAACTGGAAGCAGGTCATAGTGTGAGCCTGCCTTCCAAATATTTTAAACAGAAAGTCACCATTCTGTACTCATTGCTCTTGTTCTCCAATAAAAGTCCTGTTTTCCATATTAATTAGAATGATACCTCTTATGTCAATACCACATCCAATGTGTAGACTATTTATCCGCCTGAATGTTAAAGGTGAACAAATGAACAAAAATCTCTTTGTGTTTTTTTCTCCTTTCTTTGTTATTCATATGAAAAGGTTTAGTTTTAATGGGGGAAAAAAAAAAAAAAAAAAAGTTTTTTTTCTTACATTAGTAATTCTTTTCTTGTCTAACTTGACTTTCCTTGGTTGATTTCTTAGTTGCTCTATGCTGTGTTCAAACATTTTAATGCTACATGCTGTGTTCATGTTGACAAAAGTTTGATTGTGTCAACCTATAAACAGCTTTTAATATGTCTTCACATTACAACTATAAGCTTTAATGAGTGCCTGAGTAACATTATGTCACAGAACAAAATAAGTTCCTGGTTACGTATGAATGTTGACGTACTTCCTGTGTGGAAGTTTTGCCTCCTAATGATTGCTCAGGTCACAGATCTGAACTTTTATATTGGAAGGTGAATTGAGTAGCAGAATGCTCTTCTAAATATGTACAAACATTTGTGTTTGTTTTGGAGATAAATACTTTTCTTGTCAGTTCACCTGGGTAGGACTGACTGACTGCAGAGCAAAATACATTCCAAACCCGTATGATTCTCCATAGAGGAGGAAGATGTTGGTTCCCTCCAATCAGGAGGAGATCCCTGTTTCACATGAACCAAAGGAATGGAGACATCTGTGGAAGAAAATGAGTGAGGGGAACAGGACAGGAGAACCGGAGAAGCTTGAGAACTGAAGATCTTGAAGAGGCCCTTGGTATTACTTTTCTCCTTATACAGTGAGGAAGTGGTGGTTCCAAATGCAAGGTTCACTCCACCACTATGCCATAGTCTCTTTCCTTCCCAGGGAGTGATTTTATGGTCACTATAATCAAACATGTCACTGAAATGGGCAGTCCCTCCCTTCCTAGACTTCTGACTGTGTATTCCCGACTTGCCATCTCCCCTATCCAGGCATTAGGGAGAGACCATTGATTCAGTAAGTCACCTCAGGGAACCAAGCTGGCTGTAGATGGACCCTTTTTTTCCTACCTTTTTCACCATCCAACTTGCATATGAAATGGAATAAAAAAAGTATGAAACTTCATCCTCATTTGCACTGATATAGCTATATGGGTGGGTTGTTTGGTTTTTTTTTTGTTTGTTTGTTTGCTTGTTTGTTTTTTGGTTCATTTCCATGATCTGTTTACAGCACAAAGCCAAAAACACCTGAGCTGAGATAAGAATGAGGGAAAACTGAACAGGAATATAATATTTTTTCTTTACCACTGAATAAGCTGTAACATTCACATAACATTTATACAGCCACAGAGAGAAGCCGGATAAGAGGAAGCATTCTAGACACAGAGAGAGCAGAAAGGATCTTGGATAGCTTACCTGCTCTCTGTCTGACCAAAAACTTTGCTGAAGTGACTTTTGTAACAGAAAAGCTTTGGTCATATATACAGAAAGTCAATAAACACTGGCATATTTTTGGAAAGGCAACTGATGTTGGTAAAATTACTTGATTCCTTACCTTTTCATAAAGGTGTATGTCACCATTTCCAAGCAGACTGAGGCAAGATTTTAGGAGCTGTGATTATCGGGCCTATTCTCAAAAGACGCAGAAGACCTTACCACTGTGCCAAACACTGGCTAAAAGGGATTACTCGGAACACTGTGTTAGGGCTATTGTAACAAGAGAAATGCCTTTTACACAGATTTGGCTATCAGCTCAGCAATGTCTTATTTAATTAAGGAGTGCTTAAGAAAGCTTCATTTTTGCAGCTGTCTTATTTTTTCCCCATTAAAATTAACCAGTATAAAAACAGTCCTTTGTTGTTTGATGTAGTTTTCACTTTGCAGAACATTTGTAATAGGAGGGATGAACAATGTTGTTTGTTTGTTTTATTTGTTTTTCTCTTGAAATTTAGAGTTGCGAAATGTGATAGTAGGCATTTGACAAATTGTGTTAATCTTTTGTTGCCTTTATGGAATGCTTTTTTTTCTCATGTAATCTCAGGTCCACGTACTTACCCCTTATATCTACCTTATGCAAAGAAGTCACACTGTTTTGTATAATATGTGGGAATATGAAACAAATATAAAACAGTAAGCCACATGTCACAGGATCTATCACCCTGTTTGGTGGCTGGCAGAATGTGCGAGGCTCTGGCTATCCTATACTGACCAGATAACTTCCTACTAACACTGATGCAAACTGGGTTAATCTTAAAGCTGTTTCATCTATATTGCTTTGCTGAGAATTACAGAAGTTCACAAGACTGTGAATTTGCCATAAATAAGGTAATATCCCAAAAGGGATATCTTCTCAGATTCTCAAAATTGGAAGACCTCACCAAAATGACATTGGCCATGTTGCAGCTAGTGCATAATAGTAACGTAGTTTGCTTGCTGCTTCTCTTAGAGCCAGGTCATCTCACTATGATTGGCAAAAGTATTACATATATACACATCTTGTCTCCCTTTTTGTGACCTCTAAATAGCAAAAAGCTAAAGACTATTGGGAGTTCATGCTTTCTACCTCCAAATACAGCACTGAAGACTGTGTAATGAGTTTGGTGTACGTATGTGTATATGTAGGTTTGTCAATATGTACACATATAAAAATATACATGCACACACACAGAGTTTAGTTTTAACTTACATTAAAGTGTGTAAGTGTATTTGTGAGACGGGAACTAACAAAATGCATAATGAAGTCCCAGCTCCTCCTAAAATTTGAGAACAGAAAGCCCTTTTCCAAGCTTTCATGTATGGAAATACCAGATGAGTCAATGGGTGTTCTCCATGATAGGAGCTTCCAGGACTTTCTCTATGTCAGCAGCATTGCCTTATAACATATTTTTAAAGTTTGCCCATCATCCACAGCCACCACTGAATTAAATTTTGGTGCTCAGTAGCCCTGAAACAGGGCTGATGGCTTAAATGGTTCTTCAGGAAAGGCAGTCACACAGAAAAAGTTTAGAAAATTAACATCTGGCATTTGGGTTAATATGAGATTTGCTCAAGGTGACAATTCCTGGTAAAAATTATCCTGGAGAGGAAAAATCAAAAAGAAAAAAAAAAAAAAGAAAGAAAGAAAGAAAGAAAACCTGACTTACTCATAGTGTAATAACACTGTGCTTTTAAAATGTTTTTAACCACAAACAGTTTGGAGCAACCAACTGCAATCTATTAAGTTTCAGCTCACAGGGATTTTATTTTTTCCTCAACCCTTTATTGTACGTTGTATAAGTATTTATAGGAAATTCACAAATCTACTGACTTTATGAGAAATATGTAGCTTTCTGTGGAGAAACCAAATAACACCCAATTATAGCTCCTAAGGTAGATCTCGGAAATTAAAGAAAATTTTCACTGTTAATTGATGTATATGTTCTACAGTATTATTTTTCATTGTCCTGGGAGTTATTTCCTTTTAACTTCAAGGACAAATCCAGATTGATTTATAAAAGTAACACTGTGTAGGACACTGGAACTTTTATCTCATTTCTTGCTTTAGGACAAATCAAGCAAAACTTTTCTTAGAAAGTATATCTATGCAGAACAATACATTTTTCAATACCTAGCTTATATATGGCAAAGATTACATATAAAATACATTTATCCATCTTGAATATTAGCAATATTTTAATACTGTACTGGTATTTATAACCATAATACTTCTTTATCCACACAGACCTTTCAGAGGTTTCAATGAGAACTGAAACCTGTTTATCTCAGCAACAATGGAGCTAATCTGTTTCTGCAAATGAATAAAAAATCCAGTAAATTTTTCTTGCAATAACATCGTCATGTATTTTTCCATCTCAGTTTTAGGATGTGGTTATGTTTTCTGATGTGCAGTAAACTATGCTGTTTGGATAATCTGTTTGGGAAGTCAAAAAGTGATGAAATCTAATGATTAAATCCCATGCTTCATGGACTTGCCCATTATCTGTTACTATGCTTTCATGGATTTATTAAATATTTTATAGCTGAGGCTTAGCTATAGCACATAGTATCATACTATGTTAGGATAGCAGTTATTGTATCTAGAAATAGAAGTCTGTTTAATGGCTGCAAGTGTTGTATAATGCTGCTTGGAAGCTAGTTAGAGGCAAACAATGTTTGCTTTGAGACTGTGATGGTTTCAAGCCTTATTAAAGGATTCATCTTGTATTCTTCCTGCCCCTGTTATTCCTTTTTTGTTGTTGTTATGCTGGACATAAACAGATAATTTTTTCACAAGATGAAGCCTCTATTGAAGATTGTTTTATTTTCCTGTCAGGTATGCTATCAAAACAACATTGTCAGAAGACAGAAGAGATGGGGGTGTGGAGGTGAAGATTTGCCATTTCCTCACATGGTGGGGCTTGTTCCTCCAACTAACAAGTCTGAGATTGCAGGAACAGAAGAAAAATGAGCTACTTAGTGAACCAAGTGTCAATAGTATAACACCTGGGAGAAGAGACAGTGGGAATGGGAGACGGATCTAGCTTGGTAATCACTGATGATTTTGTCACCTAATCCTGAAAAAAACTATCTTCAGTTTGGGCTAACTGATGGAATCTGGTCCTGTGAAGATTTAAAAGAAAACATAGGTAGTGGACTGCAGTACTTGGGAGCGTCTCTGCCTACTACATTTGTCAAGAGGATATTGTTGGGCTTGGTTTCTATTTTATGCAAACATTGATGGGATATTATTTCAGATGATGGGCATTGAGCCTACTCTGTAATTTGGGGATGTGCTAGAATTTGTCTCTTTTAAGATTGAGTGCAGATATTGTTTTATAAACTGTGGATAATCAAGCAATAATTAATTAATTAATAATGAATAAATGGGAGATCAGCTCTTCTCCAATAAGGAACTGAACCAGTATTAGCCTGATGTGGACTGATCAAATGTCACCTGTACTATGTATTCCAGCTAAAAACAAAAGAAGCACTTTCTTGAGTTTTAAAAATAAATTACTATCTCAGTCCTTATGTAAATTCTTACAGTTTCAATGGATTTGAGGGAATTACAAGATTAATTCTGTTATTTGAAGATACACAGCAGTAGAAAAGTATCTGGAGTTTGTGTTAATTTATCTAACAATATGTTACGGCAAAATTCTTACCTGTTTGGTATTGATGGTGTTTAAGAATCTAGAATCCATATTCTAGATTCTAGAATATAGACTGTGTCCTAAATGTTTACTTAGGTATAGGTACCTCTGAATTACAAACTTAAATCCTACAGGTGTCACAGAACAGGTCCATAGATCTGAGTCTACACTGACCTGAAAGTAGGTGCCATAAAAGGCCTGGAATTGAAAATACAATCCTTCATGATTCTTCATGATTATTTTTGTATGTTAGGTGCATCCTTGAAACTGAATCTAATCACTGCTGGGAAAGAGGAAATTTTGTTTATAGCATATATTAAAGATTCTCTGTGTAACAGAGTTTGTGGTTCTTAAGCCTTTGACCCTCCCATTTACTTTGCTAGGGGTAAATTCAGACAGGAATTTTTGTCTGCTACAGAGTGGCAGGAACAATCAGAAATTAAGACCATCCACAACATTCTAGACTCTCCAGATTAAACCTGATGCATATTTTGCAGGAACAAAAGTACGAGTAAGTGTTAAAATTAATTACTAATACTACTGGAATTTATCATATTAATAGAATAAACTAATTAAATTATTCTAGTAATAATGAAGATATTCTAGCATATGACATTGTCTTACAGTTCATGGGGCTTGGCATATTGGAGAATGAAGCCAAAAAATGTACTTCAGAATACTTTGGAAGCATGACATATGCAGAACATCATATTCATGCTGTAAAGCTTATCTGATATCTCCAAAAGATTTCTAGGAACTGTGTTCCTGGGTATATAAAGGTGTTAAAAATCTTCTTCTGATACTAAGATATCTGGAAGAAGGGGAAAGTTCAGGGACTCAAGAAGACAGACAGGGTGATTAACCTTGGCTGCCAAGAGTGATTTGGAGTCTTTTGAAGACTCATTCTGAGAAATAAACCATACTGATTTGATTAGATTAAAAAGGTCTGACAGATTAATTTAAAGCAATCTATACCAACCTTATTGGATGAAAAGGTGACATGTATTCTGGAATAGGACCTGTATTAGATAAAGAGGCAGGTGAAATGACCTGAGTAGTTTAATGAGGCTCTCCAATCCTTCTGTATGTGTTCCTCAAGTAGATGATGATTGCCTGCCTGATAAACTAGATTTGCACATAAATTCTTCATTGCTTTATGAATTGATTTCTCGGTATCTTTTACTGTTCTATGCAGATAACTAACATTGTGACAAATGGCTGTGAACTTTTTAGACCTGTCATTGTCCCAGAGAAAGCATGGGTAGAGGTTCTTCCCTGAAGTCAGACTAGCAGAAATTATCTCAAAGACCTGCAGCCTCAATTTCCTCCTGGATGGAGGGAAAATATAGGCTTCTGTAACAAAAAGAAAATGGTAGTATTTCAAGATTTAAGACTTAGAAAGGACCACTGAAAGACACACAAATAGATTAAAGGTGCATTAAACTCAGAAACTGTTAAAGAAGTACTCTGGGACACACCCATCCATGAGGATTTTTTGGAAAGAAAGGATTTTGGAAGGAGGTAAGATAAAACAAGGGTTAGATGGCTGAATGTTCTGAATGTGCCTCCCAGTTTTTATAGAATGATATAACTGAACTGTGTTTAACTCAGTTTAAATTTTTACTTTGTGGTTGACCTTTTCCAGATTAATGACACAGTTTCAGTGGTAGGACACAGGAGATTTGCCAGTTGAAGTGATTAAGTAAAAACATTAAGAGAAACTATATATATTGTTGCCTAGCAGAGAACCAAAACATTTTTTTCATGAAAGCCACATGAACTTATTTTCCAGGTCTTAAAAATGGCTGTGCATGGGACATCAATAGAAAGGAACTGGCAGAGAGAAGTGATTTGTAGTAGTTGCACTTTGGATGGTGATGATAATTATTACAATATCCCCAAATACTTCTCATATGAAATATATATATATATATTTGAAAAATAGTGCCAGAGTATTAAGGTCACACTCCAGCTAGATACCTTGAAACATTCTTCGCTACTGAGTTTAATTACTGTCTCTTTCAGATCTTTCTACCAATTTCCAGATGTTACCTTAAATCTGATATAGATAAATGAAGGCTCTTAATCTTTTCCCTGTTAATCCCTTTTACCTTCTCTGTAGTCAATATGAATAACACCAATCTGCTTGCTCAGTCCCAGACCCTTGGCATAACCTTTGGGTTGGGATTTATTCCAGACTTCCACATCCAGGTTCCATCTGCGTCTTTGCCCTCTGAGGCCTCCATTCTGGGCTGGGATGAATCTGTCTCTGAACACGTCTGTCTGTGCACCCTAATTATACCTAGACAACAAAAGCATATAGTTTGGGTTAGATTAATTTTTAGTGGACCATAGATGAATAAAGCAAATGTCCATATGAGATAATGAAGGTGATGATAATCAAAGATTTAGCGACATGAAATAATAGCAAAACATGGAATACAAGAGATGATCTGGTGAAGGAACTTTTAGGAACATTTTGAAAGTCTAGGCAACAATATTTGGTTTTATTCTATCACGAGTTGATAACTTTCTCTCTTTTTTAATTAAAAAAAAAAAAAAAAAGAAACACATATCCACAATTTTTGATCCTACCTCTGGATTCAGCTCCCAAACTCTGGAAACACCAAACAACTCTTTAGAACAGAATGCATGTGTTGGAGGAATACGTGGAGAAAAGAAGTAAACTTAAGTGTGAGTATTCAAAAAACACTGCAGCATTTACACTAGACAAGGAATGGGGACAGTAAATAAAAACTAAGTTGGAGGATCTTGCTAACTTTTGCTAGTAGAGGGAATGAGCTGAATGTGGCAGTTCAGATTTTCTTCAGTTCTCAAAGACTTTGAACTGTGAGAGTAGTTCACCACCCCTGTAGAGTAGGATGTGTTAATGCCCTAGTAAGCAGATTTGGTATCCTATTGCTTCTGAATCAATCAATTTTGTAAAATACCAGGGCAATTCCTTCCTTTAGGTGACACTGGAAGCTAATAGTCTTTTAATAGAAACATTTTATTTTTGAAATATGAAATCATTTGGTATATGAACTGAGTATCTGTTCATTTCATGTTTATGACAAACAAGGACTGAAATTACGTGTGAAAGAGAGAGGGGAATTTGCTTGTGTATTGTATTGTATTGTAATTTGCTTGTGTATTGTATTTTAAATGCTCTATTATATTTCTGTGTGAAAAGAAAAGGGCTTATAATAATATTTTTTAATTTTTTAATTCTATGTAAATGATAAAAATATAAACTTCTTTCTTAAGCAAGAATTACTCAGTTAACTTGTCCTTTCATTTCTTTGAAACTTGATTCCAACCAAGACCATCTGTCCTTTCCTAAAGGTTTTCAAGTAGCTAAAGTAGCTTCCTCTTTTTTTATTATTATTTTTTTCCTTTTTTTTTGTTTTGTTGGGTTGTTTATATTTAAAAAATATTTTGATATTGGTGCATTTAGCAGACTGAAAATACAGTTGTTGTATCCCCCATAAAGGTAACTATAGAATATGTACATGCAAGGAATGTATTTAAGAATTATATTTAGTCTGCACCAGGAATATATCTAGTGCACAATCATGTATCTTGTGAATGAGTGTTGTAATTCCTCCTCAAATGGAATTCTTTCTTCTTGAAAATTGCCACTTCAATGTAAGCAAAAGTAATTGTAGGCTGGTGGAGCCAGAGAATTCAATTTCATTAACACCAAAGCTATAAATATGAGGTATCAGTTTGTATTTGCAGATTATTTTTTGTTTTGCTTGTGTGGATTACACTTAAAATTAAAAAGGATTTTTATTTATTTGAAAGAGGCTGTGAATGTTATTATGTAGATTACCTGAATGAATACAATTTATTTAGGCAGACAAGTAACGTACATTTATCTTGTGTTTCCAGATATTTTCCTGTTCTCTGGCAATTTGAAAAATAAAATTCTCATCTGCCTGTTTAAAATGTATTGGTCTACATCATGCTATGATAAACAAACAATCTATATGAAGTCTGATTTTTATTTTTATTTTTTTTTTACTTTTTGAATAAATATTCTAACGAGCTGTGTTGTCTAGATATCCAAAATCTCTATGTGCTATTCACTGCAAAGGTTAACCCAATTTCAGAAAGACTGGAGTTGTTAGATTTCACGGGCATTACTTAAGTAAAATTACCATCTAAGTGAAATGGGAAAACATCACATGAAAAACAAACAAAACTGTCTTGTAAAAAGATGTCTTAATCCCAAATGAAACAAGAATATCATTTAGTCCAGTTAAAAATCGAGGTGAAAAATTGGAAGAAATTTGCAGGGAACTTTGCCATTTTGTTTTACAGAAAGTGAATGGATATGTTCCCATTTCTGTGGAAAATTTTGGAGGTACCTCACATAATTTATAATTGATTTTCCACTAAACTGTTGAAAAATCTTTTTTTACTTCTGCTACTAAAGTGCAGCACCAGCAAAAATCCACAGAACATCTTGGCAAATTCTTCAGAAATTAACTCTACCTCAAAAACTTGAAAGTATGATGTCTTTTTTTTTTTATTATTATTATTTTTTATTTTGAAAAAGAGAATACCCTGAGTGTGTGGAATACATTAGTTCCATAATTCAGTAAAAGGCTATAGTACTGTAGTTATAGAAATACATTTTAGCAGAACTTTTCAAATTGGACTTTAAGGTAAACTTTGTACTTTTTAGATTCGAAATATAATAGCACCTTTTTAGAGTTCTTGGACCTAATCTGTGTCTTAGATGCCATGTATCAACAAGTGTCAAGCCTGCAGTTGGTTTGCTGTTTCCTAGATTTCTGAAAGTCTGGATATTAAAAATTCTTAAAGAATCATCTAATGGGTTTTATTATAATATAATGAATCTTTTAGCTCAGAGTTGTTGGCAATTTTCTATAGCACCAAATAATGTTTTATGATCTGAAGAGCAGTAAAGGAAATCACAGGTTTTGTTTACTGTATGAGAACTTTGCCTACAACTTGAACGTAGTACAGGGAGCCGTTAGAATTAACTTTAATTAACAACTTCACCAGGACGATTAAAATCAAGAAAAATGGCTTATCCTTTCCTCTAAAGTATAGTTCTAGCTGCCCTGTTTGAGGTCCCATGTTTAACACAGAAGGGAGCGAGGGGTATGCTTTTATTGCTCACATTGTAACTGTACTTTGGAGAAAGCAGTCTTCAGCTAAAGCCAAAAGTCCTTTGGAAGTAAACAGGCGTTGCTGCTGATGAAAGTGGGACCAGCATTTCCCCCTCAGGTTCCACAAAAACTAACCTGGAACCATTCCCAATGCAGCATTCTCATTTTTCAAAACTATCTCCACAGCATCATTTGCAAAATGACTTACTCCATAGGCTTCAGAAACAGTTAAATGTAAGGGTTTCACTTGCTGTCACAAGGTACAGACAATAAGCTACTCTTTATCTCCTAAACGCTTTAAGAATATGTTTAGTTTAGCTGTAGTATTAGATCTTAGCATTGCTTTGCTATGAAAAACCATCTATGGTGTACATGATTACATTCACTGCTAATAAATTTATACATTTCACTTGTCAGTGGTGAGATTTTCAGATAGTCTTTAAAGAAATATGTCTATTTTCTGTCAATTTAATTCCATTATATACCTTGAAATGCACTATTTAAGAGACATATATATACTTATGTTTCTTATTTTCTAACAGCTAATATTAGATTATGTATTTTATGATGCTAAGACCTAGCTTCATCCAAGTTTATTTTCAAAATGCCTATTTCTATCTCTGTCTTAATAAAGATTTGAGGATGGATATTGTCATGTTTTATGAATTGAAAACCTTCAAATACATGGTAGAATATTAACAGAAAATTCTCAACTGAAATGTTAATTTACTGACAATATCATATACACATGACATCCAAGACAATATTGACTACCTTCTGTATGTATATGTTGCTTAAAGCATATGAATTATAGCAAGTTTTGTACTTCAAACAGAAAACATCTGGTTTAGAGATCATTTAGAATTAACAAGTGAATTCCTGCCTTCAAGATTGATTGTTTAGTGACTAATTTTGAAAAAAAAATCCTTCTTGATCTTTAATATAAAATTTGGGTATTTTTTTCCTTGTAGTGACTAGTCTGTCTTCTATACCAGGTATAGTTATTATTTATACCTTTGGTCCCAGGAATAAATATTAGCTTGAATGAGGTCACTCACTTAAGCTTTAAACATTTGTTTATAGGATGCAGATCAACTGAGCTTCATCATATTCAAGATAACTCCTGTCATCTTGACAAGTATAAGACAAGGATGAAATCATACCTCAGGTTAACAATCTGTTCTAGTATTATTTCAGGTTTCAAACTGGTTTCCACAGAATCTTCCATCCTCTACAATATGTTATAATGATTCAAGCTTTCTATGCTCAGAAATTTCTGCTACAGTGTACTTTGGCTGTGAAGCTTCTCACGCTGGTATTTATAAATGTGACATGGTTCCATTTACTAAAACCACAGTGGAAGCTCATTTGATTTATATATCTTATTTACAATTATGTAGGCTGCTAATTCTACTTTAAATTTTCTGAGCTGTAAGCCTTGATGGATACCATAAAAATGGTCTTTTGGGTTATTAATTGATTAATTTTAGAATAATCTGATGCTATCATATAATTAAATTGTTCCGTATGTTCACAAAGACAGGGAAAATTAGCAGCAATAGAACTCTCATCCCTTCCTCCCTCTATTCAAAAAAAGAACATTATATCCATTTTCAAATTACCATATCCCAAGGGAAAGTTTCTGTGTAACTTCTATTTTCCCCTCCACAAAAAAAAAAAAAAAAAAAAAAAAAAAAGTGGACAGTTAAAAATGAAGGGTTCCTGAACATGACTTCAGTACACAGGAAAATACACCAGTCTGAATTATCTTCCTTTTTTACCTCTCATATTTTCACCAGCTCTATTGCCCCTCTTTAATTTCACCTTGCCTTCACCTTTATTATTCTTTTCTGCTACACACTTTACAAATACTGTCCTATTCTTTTGGAGTCAGTTGTCCTCTTTGACCCAAATTTATACCCAATATTAAAATTCTGCAATGTGATTTGAGATGCAGGAAAGAAAATCATTTGTGTTTTGTACAGGGTCAAATAAATTATTTTCACTTACTCATGTGCTATAGAAGTTGAAAGTAGAAATAGCTTAAGATCTTTTGACATGTTAGAGATACTGTAAGAAAATTCTGACATTTTCTATTATAGGTTGCTTTTTTAATTGTTTATAACCTTGCTAAGATTAAACTGCTGAGGTTGGCATTTTGTTGTCTGACGGGCCAGATTTGTTCATTGTAACTTTCATTTTCTCTGAATATGTTTTATACATTTTTGTTTTATGCTTGACAATGTTTTATCCATGACAATGATCATGAGTCCACACTTTGAAGCAGGGACTTGTTATTTGCTAGAACTGTCTGAGTTTTAGATATGGGCCTTTTGCTATACCTCAAAAATTTGTCCAGCTTTGGCCAACTTGCAGTTCTCTGATTAGTCTTAATTTACACATCCTTAGTTTTGCTAATGGATTTTCACACACATTTTATCAATATTCACTATGCCTTAGGCATGCCATGTCTGCTCAGAGAACCAATTAACCATGAAAACTGCTTGAAACATCTTCAATCACATTGAGAAAATGATTCTAATGGATTCCCCATGCAGTTGTTTCCAGGACGCAGCATGATGAACAGTGTCTACAACATGCAACATTTTAGTGCTTTCTATGCTAGCTTGAGATGACTGTCTATATCTGCATTGGACAGTGAAATACTTGCCTCTATATAGGGCTGTACAGCACTTCTATCAATCCTGGGTTAACTAGTAACAGTTTAGGTATCTGCATTATTCTACCTTACCTGCTGTTTGTCCACAGCCTTCCTGTATTCACTATATGCTTACTCTTGCTCCTGAAACATCACGGGTAAGGCAGAGGGGAGAAAGGGTATTCAAGAAAGAACAGAGGAGGCTAAGGCTGTACTGTCAGAATCTTGGAGGAGGAGGGAGAACAGCTTCATGGGGAGAGCATGTAGGTGAGCTGAGCAGGAAAGTCTCTACAGACTGAGACAGAAAGGCCTATAAACACAAGCAAATGCCTGAGAGATTCTAGTCCCTGCATTCCTGTGTTGCCTGTTAAGTAGGTATGGAAATCCTTAGAAGACATCATGTCTCGGCATTCATTAGTGTCAAGCTCAGAGAGAGGGTGAGAAGTTTCTACTTTTGCCATTTACTGCGTTAGCTCAGGTCATAGATGACTGTGTTGTAATACTAAAAGTTGTGACGCAGTTGAGGACCAATAGACTACTTCAGGTTGGACCTCTAGGTTTTAAGGTAAATTTCAGGAAATGACAGTAAAAAATACTGCATGTGTGTAAGAATCACAAAGTCAAATACTTTGAAGTTGTGTTCACATTGAAGATGTTTGCTCTGTATCCAGTACACTTGTGTTTGTGTATTGGAATGATGCTTTTAACTATGCTTTTGAATGCTAAACACTTTTTGTTGTTCTACTGATGAGGCAAATTTATTAATAAATAGTAGGACAAAAGCTGAATATTTTGACTTTTAGAAAGCATGGATTAAATGGCATTGGATTCTGTATATCCAAATAAGATGTAATTTATATTTTTTTTGATGAGAACATTGCTTTACTGTGTCTGACAAATGACAGGGAAACATTTTATTACATTCCGTTCAAATGATCACCTTCAAGTTTCTGTGTCAATTGCTTAAAATGAACAGGACAGCCCATATTTTTCAGAGCTATTGTTTCACAGTCCCATTATCCTCCAGAAGAAAAAGAATGGCTTTGTAAAATAAGCATGTTGGGTACTTGATATTTTGCTAACAATGAGATCTAGACAAAA